CCCCAGCGTTTGTGGACAAACCGACCGATTTTGTGACCCCGTTCACCCGTGAAACCATAGACTGGAGATCGCAAAGCTAGATGCTAGTAAAGCGATATCATCGGCATAGTCGAGGTCAGTCAACCGGCGTCCGGGCGCAAGCTCAATATCGTCACCTTCTTGTAGGGCCTTCCCTTTCTTGTATTAACTTAGAGAGGATAATTTTATCCAGAAGTGGGAGTGTAGGACTTACGTCTGACCACTGCTTTTTTTCAACGGGAAAACGGTCTGTGCTATTTTTATTCGATTAGGCTTGTGTGCACCTGCATCGGCCATCATCGCAAATAGGTTGTGGGGTTCATACCCCGACTGTAAGTACCGTATGCGACCCAAGTTGATGTACTTCTATTGAGCTGTTTTGCATTTACCTTCTGTCCTGAATTTATATATCATGAGCGGTGCCAATTTTATAGTTTGTAGAGATATTGCTGGACAATTCATTGGTTGATAGAGGGCATGATCGGTTTATTTTAAGCAAATTCGTATATTAATTTGCTAAAAAAGACTATAAACAAAGTGAAATTTCACATTTGTGACTTGGTCTTAAAGCTAGCGCGCTTAACTTTAAATGGGCTTCAGGTGGCTTTGACTTTAGTAACATGCAATCAAATAGTTTTACTTGCCTGATCTCCCATAAATTAACCTGGGGCATGCCAGATAATGCCAGTCTCCGGCTTTTCTATCTTATTTGGTTCTACTATTTTCTTATTGAGTGGATATCGTCCAAGAAGTGTCCCATTTATTAGTTGATATCATCATAGCCGCAATAGATTCGCAAATGCATACTCAGTTGAGTCATATGCACTGTAAATTGAACAGCAACTTTGCGTAATAAGTATTTGCTAAGTTATACTTGCCTATACGCAATCAGTAGTTTCGTACTCATAAAACAGACGCGTTTCCTTCGAATGTGTGGTTTAAAAGCTCTTTTCAGAGAAATTCTTGCGCTGGAATTGCATTTGATTCCTCTACTTAATGCAGTATCTGCAGTTTCAAGACAGCTCGCATTTTGGTTATGGTGTACAACGGATCCTCGCTTAACGAGTTTAATCCGTTCCGGCACCGAGCTCGTCATCTGAAACGAAAGGAGCTTCAAAATTCAAAATAATGAAACTAAAATTGGTCTGTTTTATCCCCGAAAAACATTAATATGAAATTTTATAATTTAGTTGTGATATATGTAATTATTATAGTTTTATTATTTACAGTTGTACTTTGCCTTATGAAAAGTCGTTGCTGGCTTGAGTTAGACAATTTGAATGTGGGTAGGAAGAGAGAAGTTATGATGTAGAAGAAGAATCTACCTGAGTCAGGCGGGCTCTCTCTTCTTATGCATTTCATTGCCGTGGGACCGTGTTGTGGTTGACTATTACTTGCTTGCCTTTTCTGTACCTCTCCAAAGAGTGTATCTATTGACGATTGCTTTTGTCTTCGTTCGGGGATGTCCCTAATACAAGACGGTAATTTGTCATCAAAAAAGTTCACACTGTTCACTCACTGTTTGTCAGGGGAATGCTTTTCCAAGAATGAGTCCACCGCCTGAGTTTTGACACCAGTCTCATGAGAGCTCGTAGTCAATCAAACTGATTCAGTTCACTGATTGGATGCAGGTGACCAATGACCCACGTCGTGGAAGCAAGTCTAAACGGCGAATACAGGCATACACACGCACTGGCAACTCGTTAAATGCGCGGAAGCTCTTCAATCTAAACACATTTTCTGCGGGGGGCTCGCTCGTATATGGGGCTCTTCCTTACTCGAGGCTCCACTGTATTTTGTTTGTTTTGGAAATCTCCCTTGGAAGTATAATCTACTGCTAACTGCCGTCTATCCTCGTCTCCCTTGGACGATTGGTATCGACTTGATCTATTTATATTTCTTGGGTTATTCTAACGTTTTTTTATCCAAAACGCTTATGAAAATCAAATAATTTAGGAGTAAAGTTGG